TTGAATTGAATTGAATTGAAAAGATGTGTCTTCAGGCCAGTCAACAGGGAGAGAGAGGTGGTATTGTGTAATCCATGGGGTAGTGAGTTCCAGAGCTGCGGAGCAGAGTGGCTGAAAGCTCTGCTCCCCATGGTGCTAAGGAGGGCAGGGGGTACTGAGAGTTGGAGGGAGGAGGCAGATCTTAGAGAGCGGGACGGTGTGGAGATGTTTAGTAGGTTGGACAGGTAAGGAGGTGAAAGATTGTGGATGGCTTTGAAGGTGTGTAGGAAAATTTTAAAGATGATGCAGGATTTAACTGGGAGCCAGTGGAGCTGTTGTAGGACTGGAGTGATGTGGGCAGAGGATGAGGTTTGAGTGAGTACACGGGCAGCTGAGCTCTGAACCACCTGTAGTTTGTGAAGGGATTTATTGGGGAGGCCAAACAGTAGGGAGTTGCAGTAGTTGATCCTGGATGTTACTGTGTACAAGGATGGCAGTGGAGCAGGGAGTGAGTGAAGGACGGAGATGGTTAATGTTGCGGAGATGAAAATAGGCAGATCGAGTCACATTGTTAATGTGGGATGTGAAAGAGAGTGTGTCAAGGATGACACCTAGGTTCTTGACCTGAGGTGAGGGGAAAGAACGTTGTAAACAGTGAATTAAAGATGCTGGGATTTTGAAATGGAGTTTTTTGTCCCAACAAGGAGGAGTTCAGTTTTGTCATGGTTTAGTTGGAGGAAATTGTTAGAGAACCAGATGTTGAGCTCACAGAGGCAGTCGATAAGAGTTGAGGATGATAAGGTGGAGTTCGGTTTTGTCAAAATGTAGAGTTGAGAGTGTCATCGGCATAAGAGTGGAAATGAACACCAAATTTACGGAAGATGTGGCCAAGCGGGAGCAGATAGATTATGAAAAGTAGAGGCCCGAGTACAGAACCTTGGGGAACACCAGTGGAAATGGGTGAAGACTGGGACCGGAAGGACTTGAGCTGTATGAACTGAGTGCGGTCAGAAAGATAGGATTTAAACCAGTCCAGAGGGGTCTCTGAGATGCCGATAGAGGTTAGTCAGTCGATGAGGATAGGATGAGAGATGATGTCAAAGGCAGAGCTCAGATCAATGAGGATGAGTATTGACAGAAGTCCTGAGTCAGCAGCAAGGAGAAGATCATTAGTAATTTTAATAAGAGCAGTTTCGGTGCTGTGATGTGGTCAAAAACCTGATTGGAACTGTCCATAGAGGTTATTGTTAGAGAGGTGTGAGAGAAACTGATTAGCGACAACCTTTTCAAGGATTTCAGAGATGAAAGGCAGATTAGAAATGGGACGGAGGTTATTGAAGTTAGTCGGATCTAGACCTGTTTTCTTTATGATGGCAGCTGATTTAAAAGCTGTGGGAACAGTACCAGTCGTCAGAGAGGAGTGGATGATGTAAGATGGTAAGTCCAGAGCTTATTTGAAAGTTCTGTCACAAACACTGTGACGTAATAGTTCAGAAAACGTCATAGAAAATAGTGAAAGCAGGTTGAAAAATATGACCCAACAGAATATAAAGATATCTTTGCAGCACCAGGAGAAAACTCAATTAAATGTTTCTGCAACAGATTGTATTTAATGACTTGAATTCAGATTAGCCATTAGCTCATTAATCCTGTCAGAAACAACTGGGTAACACTTTACAATAAAGTACACAAAAAAGCGTAACTACTGAGGAACTACTCAGTATGTACCTACTGACTAGTTACCGAAGACACCAAATAGTAACTACTGAGAAGTTACTAAGGGCACAAGAGTAACTACTCAGAGACTACTGAGTAGTTACAAGAAGTAGTACTACTACAAACTTCTTTCCCTCTAAATTACATATAAAATGATTGTATCAGTGAAAACACAATATCATTTAATAAAATAATAGGTATTAAAGTTACTGCTGATTGAAATGAAACCTGAAATATAATGAAAATGTTTGTAAATGAGATTGGTTTGTATTGATGATGTATTTCTGTGGTCTCTTTGAGTCTTTATTGAGAAATATTCCAAACTTCCTGTTACTGACTGTGATGTTGGATCTGAGCTGGAAACTGGATCATCTTATTAAGCAGTAAATGAGTTGGTAAAGGTCACTACAGGTCAGTGAAAAACACACTCCATGCTGTCCCAGCTCAGAGAAAACATTGTTGAATAAAACTCAGCTAAACTCTCAAATAGAAAATGTCATTGTTGGAACAAGCAGCCAAAATAAACATTCAACTTCTCTCTGCACTTTAAATGGTTTCACCACATTTCTTAAGATGATTACAATGCTTTATCATTTTCTGCTCGCTAAATAAAAGTCATGAAGTGTCTGAAGTCCAAATACACACAGATTTATTGATCCCAGTTTAATGATTGATCTGAACCCAGAGGATCAAGCTGTGGCTCTTCTCTCAGCTGCTCTCTGTGTTCAGTCAGCAACATGAGAATCACTCCAAGTCCTTCAGAGATGTTCCTGCTTCTCCTCTCCGTCTCAGTCCTCTGTGACAAAAAGGAGCCTCCAACCCTCCACCCCGATCCCCCACCTGAGACCTGGCCTGGCTTCGCTCCTCTGGACGACGTGCGGCTCCTGACCAACGGCCTCCTGCAGCTGGGGCAGAGCATGAGGGAGTTCGCCCAGAAGACGAAGGGACAGATCAACTCCATCTTCCAGAAGCTGAACACCTTCCACCGCTCCTCCCACCAGCTGTCGACGCTGACCGGAGAAATCAAGGAGGAGGAGGAGGAACTGAAGAAGACCGCTGTGGCGCTGAAGGCCGACAACGATGCGATGGCGGAGCTGTCTGGCAGACTCAGCTCCAAGACGCAGAGCCTCCTGCAGGAGAGGAGCTGGCTGCAGAGCAAGGTGGACGGCCTGGAGGAGGAAGTGAGCCGTGTGTCTCTGGGCCTGCAGGCAGCAGAGGTCAGCAGCCTCAGGGTGAGTGACCCCAGCTCAGACATCAGCTCTTAGAAAGGATGTCAAAGATCTGAGTTATTAAACACAGATTGTTTAGATTCTGACTGAGATTTGTTGAGTTTTCTTCTCTTTGTTACTAAAGCTCAGACTGAAGATCAGTCAACAGCTCAGTGAGTCCATCTGACCTGCGAAGCTTAACTTCTGAGTGGTCTCAGGTGTCATGGTCTCTCTCTCGCTATTCTTTGCGGTTCCACAGTTTATGAGGATGATGAGCTCTTGGTAGAGCCATGTACCATAATCCTTCATGTGGTGATAATGGATTTAACAGAACTCCTGGATGTTTAGGAACCTGGAAGTCCTTTGGACTCTCCTGACTTGTTCTTTTCAATGATCTTCTCTCTGACTTGAATTAGGTCAGTCATTTTAAAAGGGGTGAATATTCAATCACCAATTTTACATTATATTTTTTAGTTTAATGTATTAGTAATACCATAAATATAAAAATATATACTCTGTAAAAAAAATTGCTTTCCATTCCACAATGAAAGTTTCCCATTTATATTTTTCTTTGTAGAGAAGGCCAGTTTATTTAGGATTTATGTCAGCAATAAAACATAAAACATCCGAGGAGGTGAATATTCTTTAAATGAACTGTAAAAAAATTCCCTGAATTCGTAAATGGAGACATATATATATA